GGGGGGGGGGGGGGGGGGGGGGGGGGGGGGGGGGAGAGAGAGGTGATCCCCTTCCATTCTGGAAAAACTAAGGATAGAGTTGTAACGCTGCTACTTAAATTTAATTCAGTTTGGACTTGTTTTAGGCACTGATTTACTTTAGTCTTAGCTTTGGACCCGGACTTTTGAAGCACCAGTGCCTGTGCTGCTAGAGACGGATAGGGGGGGAGGGGGACGAAAAACTCGCCGCCTCCTCTCCCCGCCTTGGATATGCCTATGAGTGGCGTACATGTAGATATAAGTGCTTCAGCTTGCTTTATGGAGCACTGGGGCCGGTAGTGTAGTGGATAACACGCGTCGCAGTTTGAAGGATCTGTAGGTAGTGAAAACGAAAGGTTCGATTCCTTCTCGGTCCATATCATTATTTGCGAAAGAAGCTTTGTTCGCGGTATAACTAGTAATCTGAAAGTGGTGCGCTGTTTTAGGAATGCCTACGATCATTTCGCCCCTCTCACAGTGGCCCATTTGGAATTGAAACAGAAGTTATCGAAAATTATGTACGCTCTTGTGCTGGATATTCCATAATTTGCTATATTTTGGGAATTGGTAAGCCATTTTCCGCGCGCACACGATTTTACAGACTTTTTTTTTTGGAATGTTAAGATTTTATGACAAAAGCAAGATGTGTGGATGATATTGAGAAAACTAGGGCTTTTTTGGTATCTAATTTAACTGAATTAATACACTTTGGTGCTGAATTTTCTCTAGTTGCTTGTAAACTTTTTTTTTCTAAATGGTATAAAAAATTAGTAAAATTCGGATCAGCTGTAATTTATAGTCTGGTTCTCCACATACACTCCCGCACACACACTCGCACACACACACACACACACACACACACAAATATACACATACACACAGACCCACACATGCAGCTATCAGCTTTCTCATTTGTTTTGACCAGTGTTGCGGTTTGCTTTATGGTCAGTCTTTTGGTGATCCTGATGTTCGTTCCGTGTTTTAAATCGATTGTCAGCTCAATGACTGATTTGATTTGAAAAAACATCGTTAGCAAACTTTCACCGGCTTCGAAGATTCCTTGGTGTGTGTGTGTGTATGTGCATGTGTGTGTGTGTACGTGTGTGTGTGTGTGTGTGTGTGTGCATATGTGTGTGTGCATGTGTGTGTACGGGTGTGTATGTGCATGTGTGTGTCCGTTTGCTGATCGTTACCCTGAAAAGTCAGAGCCATGTAAATCCTGAAAAAGAAAAGCAAAATCAATTCTCATTAATCATGAGTAATGTATCGTAATCAGATTCGTAATAATGGTTATTCTCATTCAGGTTTTGTCTGAGTATTGTCCCTGGAATGTTATAAACTTAGGTACCAAGTGACTGGATTTTGCCTTGTCAGATACGAGATATTCAGCTGAACATTTCTGTTTAGGTGATCGGCATTTGCACAATCTTTTGCTATGTGAAAACGGGAAAATGTTTCATGTGGATTTTGGTTATATTCTTGGACGTGACCCAAAACCGTTTGCGCCACCGCCGATGAAATTGACCAGTGAAATGATCAATGGTATGGGCGGCTCACATAGGTAAATCATCATTTTTGGACGTTTTCTTTCATAGTTTAAAATCTGTTTGAGCTTGCATTGAAAATATTAATTTTAGAAAGCTGAAAATGTTGAAAACTGAAAATGTTCGTTTAAAAAAGTTGAAAATTTCCCATTGCGGAAGTGAGAATGTTAATTTTTGAGAAAAAAGTGTGTATTTTCCTCCTGGATTACTCGTGGTTCCTGTGCTGATGATTCTGACATCCCTTCTCTGCTTTTCCTCTTTATTACTCGTGAATGAATTCTTTTATTAGTTTCTTCCCTCTTTTATTTGTGGGGTTTTTCAGACCACTTTTTAGCTATGTTTTTTCCACAAAGAAGCATAAATTGAGAGTATGCCAGAAGTAATAAGTTGCGCAGGTGCTTTTTACCATATTGAATTCTGAACATAAAATTACCCGGGGCAGTGTATATATGTACTATTTCGGACAATTTTATGTGTATAAAATACTTT